TCCACTGAGATGTTGTTTGGCAGAAAGCCCTCATAGAACTACGTCCGATAATTCCATGCCCGAAACTTTGATAGATCAGCTAGCCTATGATATTCGTGTCTTCTCAGTTTGTCGAAGCGCAAGAGTTGAACTTAATGCGTATGTAGAATTAATGGTAAAGAACTGAGAGAAAAGACTGTTATAAAGATTATCGGCCATTGTTATCAATGTTATCAATGTACCCTAATAAATCGATCTCCCTGCAGTTCCTTATGAAAATTATTCCTGGTAAAATAAACACGGTCCTCCACTTTACCTATCATCTCACTGGATACACCGTTAACGTAAACCAGTAGCGCAGACGAGGTTACCGTTCTATCATCATCCATTAAAAAAACGGTAGAAGATTATCACCATTTAGATATTGAAGAGATGGCAGATAATTTTAATCTCTATTAAAATAGTCTACCTACTAAATTTAACCTACGTTTTGAGGTCATCATTAACTTTCTGTTTAATATAATTTCAAGATTAATTGAACTGTAACTTGGAGGGCATTAGAAGTAATTAGACAGCAATTTAGACACTTCTCAAGAGCCTCTCCAAATTTAACTTAATAAACGAAGATATATTGATACATTTGACACTATGAAAATTAAATCTGGTGAGATTTACTCTAGTTAATATGACAATTTGGTGTACAATTTGGGAGCCAGATTACATAGCAACTTAAATGCGATTACATTCAATACATACAAGAACAAAAGTTGCCTGCATGGGTATCTCTGTCTCATCCATATTCCTGATGTCGAGCAGTTGCATGGTTGTATTTTAATTTGAAGGGTGGCAGTAAAATTACAGGATACGACATTATAACATCTTCATCATCACTATATCGGTCGTTAACTGATCGCTGCTGAAGATAAGCCTCCCCCACCAACTGCCTTTCGCCACTATTGTATATTGTCAGTAGTTGCTACGCTTGACTGGCGAATTGGCAATCGCAGTTAGGCTTTCAGTTATATATTTCAAGAAGGACGCTGCTGCCCATCCCCTGACTGTTTAGTACCCTAAATCGCCTCTCGACACCCACGGGGAAGTAAGGGTTGGTTCATTCTATGCCGGGACTACAATTTTATACCACATGGTGGTATAACATTGTAGTCCTCGATAATGGGAACATATTTATTTACATTTTATTGCCCCATTTATGAAAATAATTAATACAGTTAATTTTAATGTGAAGTAATACAAAAGGCAGGCTTATCAATAAACAATCTCGATAAATATAAAAGGTATCTATTATTAATATTTATTTTTAAATTGCTATTATTTTTTTTTTATTATACTATTATTGACATTAGAATAATCTGCAATATATTTTTTTGTAAAGCCAACAAAAAATTTGCATACTAATATTGGTAAAACGTGTTCAAACTATAACCTCATATAAATACCCAGTATGTATCTACTGCACACACGTTTATGCAAATAAATTTATTTTATATTCTTTTTTGACGTCACACCGAATTCTGTGACATTCGTGGACCATTAGCTTGTTTGATATAGCAGGTTTTATAAAAAAAACTACTATTAGGAAGGGAATCCGTTTAAAAAATCAGATCGTTACCATCTCTACATCAGAATTACGACATATGTATATTTTATACACAAATTATGTATCACGCGATCATTCAAAAAACTATCGACAACTGTCACATGACGCCTATTATTATGCGGAATGAATCAGTAACTTCCCGCGAGGGCACAAAAACTTTAATTCTGACGACTTTTTAATTTATTTGGACACTCCTCCGCAAGGGCTAATGACGAAAAAAGAGGTGAAAAAACAGATAACGGTGTTCGAGGGATTGAAACAAGACAAAAACTGGAAACGGGTTGCTACGACCTACGTTTATGCGTTGATACGGCGCTAGCGCTTTTTGCTTAAATACATTTTAAGCTCACTCAGGCATATTGGTACAAGTATTAGTACGAGTGTGACAAATAGGTACGACTTAGCATTCATAATTTGATTGATGATGTATTATAAAAATGGATATTGGTGATTTCTTGTATGGTGACGGAGAACTAATATGTCACCATCCCATTCGATCCCAGGAAACCATGAGGCTAATTTCAGACGGCATTTATGGATGTAGACTAAGCATATATTAGGAAACGCGCGTTTACGGCGATATAGAGGCCTAAAAGATTTTCGCTACATTTATATCGATTCATAGACTCAAATTTCTGGTCATGACTGCATCTTGTTTGAAAATTATTATCTACATATATAAAATACCCTGTTTACTTAGGCTCTAAAAATAAAGAAACCAGAGTAAAAAATTAAAAACTCTAAATAAAACTCCGTATCAAGCCGCCTGCCAGTGTGAAAATCATAACTGTCTTATCTTTGTCTCATTTCGACGCAGTATATTTTTAATCAGTGTGACAATAGTAGTCTAATAACATAGATCTAGTGCCGACAGTAGGACATAAATGGGGTTGATGATAAAGACGAACTCAAGTGGAAATCAAGGAAAGATTGAAACAAATATTATTGGCTTAGTATTGAGAGTGATAACCGTCGAACACCCGATAAAATGAGACAAATCTCGACATTTCCACAAAGGTAACAGATACTAACACAAATATCACACTATCGACTAGGAAACAGACAACACAAGTGTATTTTATCTCGGCGCTGTCATTTTTCTCGTATACCCACATTCATGAATATTTTTTTAGTCTCCCGGCCCATTCACCAAATACGTTTATCTATTTACATCCTTATCGAAGGGTCGCCCTTCGCGGAAGTGGGGTTATCGACTGTCGATATCGACTGCCGACACTCCACTTGATAAAGCGTGAGTGTGAGATTTGGGTTTCAATCACGAATCGTCACTCTCGCATCCGACATATTTTACACTGTTCCAAATACGAAGACGAATATGACAGATAAAGAAATTCAACTTAACGGCTTTGAAATAAGAATTGAAACTGAAATGACAGTAAAATACTTTAAACTTTATGTAGGTATTCGCAATGGCGGTTCTCGTATGACTGACAAGTCTACTCTACAATACATATATGATATATGAAGAAATTATAATTGGTAAAACTTTAGAATTTTCCATATTTTATAAATTAAACGAGCAAAACAAAAGTTCTCACGTAGCAGACGTCTTGAGGTAATCATCTGTAAGCGCGCTTATCTGAAGATCTGTAAACTGCCATCATAATATGCTAATAATATATACATAATATAGAAAAATTTAACAAAAACACTGTCAACACCTGGATGCACATAACAAAGAATAGAGTCAATTAAATAATTAGCAAAACCATGAAGAGGTAAAACTCTAGATGGGTACAGAGTAAACCGTACTAAGATAGGATATAGAAGGAAAAATTGATTAATAAACGTATGCACTATCGACGACAATCACACATGTTCATTTAACAAAAAGCTTTGCACGTGCTAACCGTGGATAGATCCGTCCTGATGGAAATTAGCCCATCTGATGGAAATTAGTAACCATCGCCTAGACATGAACAGTACCGTGGACATAACAGAATATACTGTTTCGCCCATGATACACCCATGCGTTGCAATCCCCAAGAACTAAGGTGTTACTTCTCTGTACCCTGTAAATTCACTGCCATATCCCACTCTTCAAACCGAAAAACAGTCATGCGAATGTAACTGTTTCACGGTAGAAACACGGTAGAAAAACAAATCACAAAACTTGAGAACGGTTGGATTAATTCGGAAAATTTTTGATGGGATCGGATTACTCGATAGGACTACAACCATTGACTGAATGGGACTTCATATATATATATATATATATATATATATATATATATATATATATATATATATATATATATATATATATATATATATATATATATAATATAAAAAAACTTCGCAATACTTGCCCCGCAACTTTTACGGTATAATATGTTGTGAAATCTCAAGTTAAGTTTGGCATTCTATTTACCAATAAATCTTCCAATCTTTCCATAGTCAGTGATGATAAACGGGTCAAAGGGGCCCTGACCTCTATTACGAGTCTCTATTTATATACATAATAAGGAAACTAAACTTTTGCTCGTGCGGCACTCGTTTCTTCTACTTCCGTAAATATATCTAAAGTGATTTAAATGAAAAAAAAAACCTGATTCTTTATTCGTAAATAATTTTACGAAAGTAATTCATAAAAGACATTCTTTAAAGGTTTTCTTGCAACAAATATGCGAAGCAACTAAGGTAACTTTAAGTATACCAGAGGGAGATTTTGTACAAAAGTCGTTTGCTTGGGAACCTTTGTCCCATTCGTGTTTCTACCATGGAGCAGTTGTGTTTGCATAGCTGTGTTTCGGTTTGAAGGAAGAGATATGGCAGTGAATTTACAGGGAACAGAGTAATAAGACCTGAGTCCTCAGAAATGGCAACGCATGGGGGATATCATAGGCGAAACAGTATACTCTAGTCTAGTCGACCTCCCCGCGATTAGTAGAATTATGAACCTCTATTGGAAATCACTTACAAATACAGTTGAATTAAGAATTTCTTTCACCAACGAGTAGTAGTCACTAGTCATTTGTACACGACTAGCCAAAATTAGACTTTTTGTCTAATTCAGGTTTCATACATCTATGTAAGTTTCTTTAATCTACCATAACTTCTAAATTCCTGAACAGATTTGAGTATATGGGGTATCGTTTCAATTCTTATATTATTCCTAATGACACCTGTATTTTTATTGAAAAAATTTAAAGTAGCAGCTTTATGACGCCATTTTTTTAAATAACAAAAAAAAATCTTTAAAAACAGCATTGACTGTTTTTAATCTTAAAAAACCTTGTTCACTAGCTACATTAAAATCTTTCCAGCCACGACTGACGACGGAAACTCAAAAAATACATTAAATTTTTCAACAACTACATCAAACAAATTCCCCGAAAAGTGTGGCGATTATAAAACGGGAAGATAAATAAAGTATACTCACTGCATACGCTGTTAGTATGCCGCTGCTTGTTGTTTAATCTGTAAACAAATAAACAAACGTCTTAATTACAGGCTTTTCAAAGAAATCCACTCAATTTGGGAGAATCATTAATACGTTTAAATCAAGTTTTGACTGGATTTATACGTATTAGTACAGTGTAGTATCTTCAGGTTGGTGTCCATACTTATAGAAACATCGTGATGCTCTACAAGTATGCACATCAACCTGAAGATGCATCAAATATGGCAACTGCATACATATTGCACGGGCTTTAAACCATAGGGTCGTATATACACGCAAAACCCTTCAGGATTAAAACTAAATATTTTTTTTGCATAGACCAAATTTAAAACAAATTTGTATTTATATTAATATAATAAAACTGGAAGTCTTTATTTGAACTAACAGATGGATTTGAAATATTCTTTTTATATAGATTTAACTTCACGATAAGACCACGGACAAAGGTGTGGGATAGAACTAGAGTATAAAGAGATAGTGTATAAAAATACTATCTTTTTTATACAAAATGCATCATTCTAAGACAACTATATAAATTAGCAATTATATATTATATTTATGTCTAAAATTGTTTTCAACGTTAATATATGTATAAACTCGCATTTACACTATAGTACCATTTTACATCGTACATGTATCTTTTTAACTATGATGGGATTAATATAATAGTCTGGATGAAATTGTTATCTTTCTACACTAATATTGTTAAGAGGAAAGATTTGATAGTTTGTTTATTTATTTGTAACAGATATACTCAAAAACTACTTCACCGATTTTTAAAATTCTTTCGTCATTACTTTTTTACCTTTACCTTTACATTTTTATTATTTTTACAAAAACATATACTTGATACATAACCATGGAAAATAGGGTTTCTATTCGAAAATTGAGGAAAGGCTGAGTAAAGCACACAGGGTGCAAACCCTACTCGATCTTGACAAATTTTTGTTTTTATACACCTACTATATATGTATAAAGAATTTATTATTAATTAAAAAGCCGACTCCATTAAAACATAAATACGTCGCAATGTCTTACTCGATCCATCCAGAGCCATAACGGTTTTATCCAAGACATCGATGGTCAGATCTGACTGATCGATAGCCATAAAAATGGACAATATTATAATAATGCGTACTAGCTGAGATCGCGACGTCATCCGCGCGGTGAATTACATTTTCCCACGGGTTTGAGATATTTTCACGTAGAAAATGTAACTATATACAAAGTTATTATCACATCAAAATTTATGCATAGACAGGTAGATAAAAATTTAAAAAAAAATAGGACTTTACGCTTTTAATTAAAACTATAGGATCATAATTTTCTAAAAATGTTTCGTCTATAAAAACGGTTTGTTATATTTTTTTATTTTATTTGTCGTGTAGTCCCAGGACGGAATGAGCCACCCCTTACTTTCCTGGGGGTATTGTAAGAAACAAGTAAGGGAATATAATGAACGAAGTATGGGCAACAGCGTCAGTCAGCGTCAACAGCAAAACTCCCCTTACGAGGAAGGCCTATGTTCATCTGTGGACAGTTAACGGCTGACATAATATCTTATATTTATATAAAAATATCATGTCACGGTATTTGTGGTCGAATTCTTCCGAAACCGATTTTTATGAATGTTTTTATATTACTATATTATATTTAATACTAAAAAACCATATGGGTGATTCTTATTCTTACATTTTTTTGTGTGAGTTGTAAGAAATTAATATATTTTTAAGCAAAATCAGTAAACTGTATATTAATTTACTTAGCAAACTACTTCTAGTATCATATCTTAATATAATTTTTGCCATGAAATCATTAGAAAGATATTAAAAAAAATCCAAAGTCCAAAATGTCACGGACCGTGTAGTGTGAGATTGCCGGATTTGGAAATGAAATATTTTTTTCTAAAGAAATGTCATGTTAGTTTGCGAAAAACTACAGCAATTATGCAAGACTAACCTTTGTTCTATAAGACAGTTTAAAAAATATATTAATAATAATGACTATTTATGATTTTGAACAACATAAAGTTTGTGACGAGTTTTTGTGTCACGACCATGTACGATACTATAAAAATGGGTTACTCGGTAGAAAAGCATCTTTGATATTGGCAACTCTTTCTAAGTTCTTTTAGAACGGTAACACTGTCTTCTTATCAGATTTGCAAATGGCTGAATGTAAGATGTGTTACGCAAAATAATTTTTTTCATTTATTTGAAAAAAGGGACAACCTTAACACGTCATCGCCGTGTACGAGTTCTGAACGTAAGTACCAGTGTCATGCTATTGTTTGAAACATAATATGTACCTCATACAGTGTAGTTTAAGATAATTACTTAAGATTTGCAAAACCATGGCTAGTTTTTAGGTTATATCGAACACGTTTCAAATTGTCACGGCCATGGTATGAAAAAAATGTCACCGCCACGGACTTTTTGAGTACATGGTCGTGACACATATAATGCGTGGTCATGACATTCCATTTCATTTGAATAATTTATTGGCTTTTGTTGTTATACTAAATTATTTTGTTTAATATGCACTTCTTAGAAATTTCCTTTTACTAGGTATACTGATTTTTCACTATTCTGATTCTCTAGATGCCACGAAAGAAGAATAGCAATGCCACGACAGAAGCAAGAAAAAAAGGCGTGAATATGAAAAGAGGAGACGTGCCAAAATAAAAGCAGATCCCGTTAAATACGAGGAAGCAAAAGAAAAAGAACGAGCATGGCATCAGCGATGAAAGGAGCAAAAGAAAATATTATCAATAAAAGATTTATCACGTCGTGATCAGAAGGCACAACGAGAAAAATGGTGTAAACGTACTAGAAAAAGTCGAGCATTAAAAAAATGCAGAGAACGCGAGATGCAACTAATCAGGGAGAATACTCCTCCGTCTGATTCGGAAATTAATGAAGCCCTGGCGCCAGATCCGAACGTCTCTTCACCAGTAAGACTGCGCGATACAACACCGGAGGTTAGGAGAGATGATACACCTACCACATCATAACGAGGTGAAACTCCATCCTCCATCAGTCCTCGAGGCAGCGTAATGAGTAGACAAAGGCGCCAAGCGTTAAAAGAACACAAACAACGCAGGAAACTAACTGATGTTATAATTATGAATCAAAAAGCAAAAATAAAAGTACAGCAGAAAGCAATATATACTCTTCAAGTTAAAATGAACAGGCTGATAAAGAAGGTTTCTCAAATACCGATAGAAGCCACAAAAGGCAAAGAGTTTTAAAAGATATTTGATGTAAGACGGATTATTCAATGGTTCTACGTCTGAGGTCGCCAAATAATCGAACGTTTGCCTGGCGGTGTGCGACGAAGCATTGTCGTGGTGAAGGAGGATCCTATTTCGAGGTCGTTTCCCACGCACTTTTTCCAAAACACGTGGCAAACAATTGTTACTGTACCACTCTGCAGTAACTGTTTTTCGATCCTCTAAAACAATTGTCGCGTAATGACCTGTCCTTCCAACGAACGAGCCCCCATCTTTTTTCTCACGCTTCGACCTCTCTTCACTTTAGTTGACAACTCCTCGGAAGGAAACACTGAGCTGACTGTCTTTTATTTTCGGGATCATAACAGTAAATCCAGCTTTCGTCTCCCGTAACTATGTCAAACACAGAATTTGAGTCATCTCCGTTAAATCTTTCATGTATTTCACGGCACCAATCAACACGACGCAGTTTTAGAGCCTCGGTCAAATTATGAGGTATCCACCGGGCACAAAGCTTCCTGACCGCCAAATGTTCATGGAGGATTTTGTGCACTTGACTTATACCAATCCCTAGATTTGCCCGGATCTGCTGATAGATCACTCTTTTGTCAGTCTCTATCATACGCCGCACAACACTGATGTAATCTTCAGTCGTCGCCGTAGAAGGCCTTCCCTTCACGCACATCATCGGTGAGATTAGTGCGACCACGTTTAAACTTATTAAACCAGTTGTAAACGCCACTGTTTAGAGTATTACTTTTTATGTAAATGTACGATTTTACTTCTTTGGAAAAAAAAATCAATCCTTTAATTTTGTTGGGTTTAAATTTTCTTTTTTCAGATATTTAATGATATTGTGTTATTTTTTTTAGAAGTTTTATTTCCTTTCTAGATTGAAGTTGTGTTATAATTTACGAGAGGATAAAAATGAGTCCAGCTTTGATACTCAGTTATTATGTTTAATATTTACTAATTATAGGTACTATGTGATATCAAAACAATGTTACCTGTGACTAGATAGTTCTAAGAATAAAAGGCAGATTTGTTGTATTAGTAGGTAGAATGATTACCTGATGGTATTTTTGCCGGGATCTTATTTATGATTTAATTATTTGATGTTTAAAAAGAAGTATACTAAATAAATACTGTTGATTAAACCAATTCAGTGTTTTATTCATTGCTCAATCACTTTAAACTAAGATGACACAAATTTAATAACTTTAATATGAACAATTACAGTGCAAAATGTGAAACTGCCATATCCATATCATACAGTGTCACAGCCACGTTTAGTAATGTCACGACCGAGGCACAGTCTGTCACAGCCGTGTTTATGTACCAATTTTTTTTACCTTTCCTGAAGGCATTAAGCTTGTTCATATGCACCAAAAATATGCTTTTAGTATATATTTTTGATGTACATCGCAATATGTCGTTAAAAAAAAACTTTCATTTTTTTGGGTTATCTGAAAACTATATAAGAATCACCCATATATCATAAGCACTATTGTACAACTATTGTATATAAAACATTTTAGCCGACCTTATAGAGATTGGTGTCGATAAACTGGACTGGCGGAAAAAAAATGACAAAAAAATGGCATCGAGCATTGCTCTGTGGCTTTATAAATATTTATATATCTGGTATCTGGCCTCGTATTAATATAATTATAACGTGGATATGGAAAGAACTAATGCATATATGTATAATAAATAACACAGTGTATTGTAAGTACATGACATGTCAAATGAATAAATTATTACTACGGCGTAAGGACTGAAGAA